TTTTTTTTTTTTTTTTTTTTTAAGACGGGGTTTCACCATGTTGGTCAGGCTGGTCTTGAACTCCCAACCTCAGGTGATCCGCCCTCCTTGGCCTCCAAAGTGCTTGGATTACAGGTGTGAGCCATTATGCCCGGCCTAAAATGAAATCTTTCTACCAAAAAGACACCTGTGTGCATATGTTTGTCGCAGCACTATTCACAATAGCAAAATGATGGAATTGACCGAAGTCCCCATCAATGGTGGACTAGATAAAGAAAAAATGGCATGTGTACAGCATGAAATACTATGCGGCTATAAAAAAGAATGAGATCATGTCCTTTGCTGCACATAAATGCAGCTGGAGGCCCAAGTGAATTATCCTAAGTGAATTAACACAGAAGCAGAAAATCAAATGCTATAGGTTTTCACTTTTAAGTGAGAGAACGCACAAACATTAAAGATGGAAACCATAGACAATGGGGACCCCAAAGTGGGGGAGGGGCAGAGGACAAGGTGGGCAAACCACCTGTTGGGTACCATGTTCACGATTTCGGTGATGGGCTCAATAGAAGCCCAAACCTCAGCATTGTGCAATATGCCCACGTAACAAACCTGCACATGTGCTCCTGAATCTAAAATAAATGTTTTCAAAAAGCAACTGACCTATATGATTAACATTTTAGTCTAACTGTACATATGTCTTATCTGCATGTGTTCATGCTTTGAAATATGAGATGGGTACTTTGATGATCCCTGCTCTGGAGGAGAGAAAGCAGACACGTCCCCCAAATCACAAATTCGGAAAGGAACAGACACATCATTTTCCCCTAAATCACAAAGTCGGGAAGTGACAGAGCCCAGTCTCTGTCACTGCCTCACGCTTTGTGCCCCGACAAGGCAAACTGGACAAGTGCCATTCTAGAGAGGCAGACAAAATTCAAGTGGAGGAGAGGGGAGGGAGGAAAGTCAGCTCAGGCCTGCTCAGGCATCCCAGGGGAGGCTGTGGGAGGAGGGAGGCACACAGTTGTGGATTTCGTTCCCCCTTTTGCATACGGACCAGCCCTAGCAACAGAGTTTTGTGCCACTGTTCAACAGTGAATGATGTCATGGACACCGCCTGGTCTTTATCAGTTCTGCCGGATAAATAGCCAACCGCACTGGGTCTGGAGAGACAGAAAGGTGCTGTGCAGCAGATACCTTGGGGTCTCAAAGAAGCAGGTGAGCCTGGGCCCGAGGGGCTGGGTGGAGGAGCACCTGGGTGCTTCTCTGCTGGGGAAGGAAGGGGACAGGGCATGCTCAGGAAGACAGGCAGGCTGACCCCGCCTAGAAAGCACCTGGAGGCAAGAGGGGTGGGCATGGTGACCACGTGCCCTTTTGGGTGAGATGCTGCTGGCCAGGGCAGGAAGGCCCCCCACTACCAGCTCCGTGTCACTCTCTCTTACCAGTGGCCATCAGCATGGGTGCAGGCCCCGACGGGTCCTACTTCCCCGGCAATCACTGGCTCGCCTTCTCCGTGTACCTCCTCACCTTCCTGGTGGGGCTCCCCCTCAACCTGCTGTCCCTGGTGGTCTTCGTGGGCAAGCTGCGGCGCCGCCCGGTGGCCGTGGACATGCTCCTGCTCAACCTGACCGCCTCGGACCTGCTCCTGCTGCTGTTCCTGCCCTTCCGCATGGTGGAGGCGGCCAGTGGCATGCACTGGCCCCTGCCCTTCATCCTCTGCCCGCTCTCAGGATTCATCTTCTTCACCACCGTCTATCTCACCGCCCTCTCCCTGGCAGCCGTGAGCATTGAGCGCTTCCTGAGCGTGGCCTACCCACTGTGGTACAAGACCCGGCCGAGGCTGGGACAGGCGGGTGTGGTGAGTGTGGCCTGCTGGCTGCTGGCCTCTGCTCACTGCAGCATAGTCTATGTCATGGAATTCTCGGGGGACACCTCTCACACCAGGGGCACCAATGGGACCTGCTACCTGGAGTTCCGGGAAGACCAGCTGGCCATTCTGCTGCCCGTGAGGTTGGAGATGGTCGTGGTCTTATTTGTGGTCCCCCTGCTCATCACCAGCTACTGCTACAGCCGCCTGGTGTGGATCCTCGGCAGGGCAGGCAGCCGCCGACGGCAGAGGAGGGTGGCGGGGCTGGTGGCAGCCACGCTGCTCAACTTCCTCGTCTGCTTTGGGCCTTTACACATGTCCCATGTCATGGGCTTTGTCCAGGGTGAAAGCCCGGCATGGAGGATCTACGTGATGCTTCTCAGCACCCTGAACTCCTGTGTCGACCCCTTTGTCTACTACTTCTCCTCGTCCGCGTTCCAAGCTGACTTTCATGAGCTGCTGAGGAGGCTGCGTGGGCTCTGTGGTCCAAGGTGGCAGGAAGGCAGTGTGGAGCTGAAGGAGCAGGAGGGAGGGGAGGGGCACAAGGAGGACCTCACAGAAGAAAGGAGGAGTAGTGGACTGTAGTGGGGCTGTGCAAAGGATGACCAGGTGGCCTGTGCTGAAAGCTAGGTCCTCTGGGGCAGGTGGGAGCAGCTGGCATGTCATCCTCAGGGTACTTCCTCACCCACACCAGGCGGGACTTGGAGTGGCGAACTGGGAATCAATGGGGCTTGAGGGTAGAGCAGGCACCCAGCCTTCCTAAGGGTGTGCGCCCTAAAGCTGAGCTCTTGCTCTCACCTCCATCCCCATCCACCCACACTCTATGGATTGGGCTCTGGGAAGGGGTCAGGGTGAGCGGCTGCTCGGGAGAACATTGAGGTCCTCATAGCAGCAGGCGACTCCTGTGCTTTTCTGACGGGGGCACAGGAGCTAAGAGCAGTGCCCGGAGTCTGAGTGGCAGACCAGTGAGTGGCAGGGCTGGGAGAGAGGAGAAACCCAACCTCAGGGCTGCTCCCAGCTGGCGAGTCAGGAGTGTGGGAGACAGGGCTCCAGGGATGAGGCTGCATTCTGCTCCCACAGCGCCTTTTCCAGAAAAGGCCATTCCCATTGCTCAATACATTTGGGTCAGAGAACAATGACAAATTTGGATCATGAACAATGACAGGAGAAAAATTACCCAAATAAATGAGGAAGCAAGCCAAAAAGAACGGTCTTTCCTCCTTCTCCTCTTTTGTTCTGGTGGTGCACTTGAGCCGGAGGGCTGGTGGATGGAAGGGGAAAACACCAGACTCCAGAGGAAAAGGGCCAAATACCGGGAAGCCTGGATGCCGGGAGAGACCTGGCCTGCAGGGATGCAAAGACCAGCTGCCCGGTCTGCAGGACCTGGCCTGACACATCATCTTCTATCTCTCAATAGCCCTGTGGTAGATACCAGCATTATCCCCAGTTTCAGATGACGGAATGGCCCAGAGAGGTGACATCTCCTGCCTGAGATCCCATAGCTGGTGGGTGACTGAAGTGGGACCAGAAGCTGGAGTCAGTTGGCTCTGACACCCATGCCCCTGAGCCACTCTGCAGTTTTCCAGCTGTGTGTCACTTGTGGTCACCCGGCCCAGTCAAATGTTCCCAAGTCAGATGAGGCCATCTGAGCAGGACACATGTAAACAGGGTGTGATAAGAAACAGAAGGAAATGCAAAGC